CTCCTGCTCCTATGATGTTGCTTGGCCTGCTGTGTTCATCCAGCTCTGCACCTTGTTGTCTCGGATTTTCCAGCATCTGCAGTTCCTACTATCATGGCCTTACTCCTACTGGGTACTGCACTCTCATCCACACTACTGCAGTTAGTGACTCTGCCAAACTGCAGCTATGTGGTTACCATATACTCAGGGTGGACCTCACCTTGGCAGGGACCTTCTGGAAAGCCTCCTGAAAGACGTGGCTGACATCTGGACTCTGTAGCTCAATCAGAACCTCCAAGCTGCTCTGCCACATCTGCAGCGAACCGGCAAAGTTAGCGCTTTCAGACTTGACCAATCTGATCGCTTTCTCAGCATCACCCTGGTCCACTAACAATCGAAGCTACAACAAATTATAAGCAATTAACGCTGTATTCAAGCAATTACAGAGTGAAACAAGAAAGAAAGTCTTGCGCAGTTCAGAGAAAGTACAAAAACTCACTAAACCAGGGTCACTGGCCCAGGTAAACCTCAATCTGAATCTTTCCCCTTTTGTTCCTTTCTACTATTATACATCTTTGACCCCCAACAACTGACACAGTTCCTAGAGAAAATGCTTTATGTTATGCTTGCTTCATCGATGACTCCCTCCTTTAAAGGAAAGCATTACCCACATTTATGGCAGCTGTATATAACCCTGGTATCATCCTGGTAACATTTCTCTGCACCCTCTCTTAGTTTTTCTGTGATCTGCTGCCCAGGATCAGACTGAAACCTACTGTTGAAGCAGATTAGCTTGGCTCTTTTTCTGTCTTGAATGTGCCTATTGAGTAAATAAGATAGAAAGCAGAGTTTAATAACGTATCGATCTGCACACCACCTTTAAGGATTTAGGAATATGTTTCCGTCAGGGAAAAACCCCACTGAGGTTGTGCTGCCTGTCCATGTTTCTCCTCCCAAAGTGCATTTGATTTTATTCGTTCACAGGATGAGGGTGTCACTGGCCAGGCAGTATTTATTGCCCATCCCCAATTGCCCAGAGGGCATTTATGAGTTAACCACATTGCTGTGGGTTTGGAGTCATATGTAGGCCAGACCTGGTAAGGATGGCAGTTTCTTTCCCTAAAAGGACATTAGTAAACCAGGTGGGTTTTTCCGACAATTGACAATGGATTCATGGTCATCATTAGACTCTTAATTCCAGATTTTTTAAAAAATTGAATTCAAATTCAAAAGACATGAAGGGACATGGGAATTTGGGGAAGTTAGTGGCGATATCTTGGGGACAGTCCATATCACAGCAGAGGAGCTGTTGAAAGTATTAGTATGTACGAAGGTGGATAAAGCCCCTGGTCCTGAACAGATATATCCAAGAACCCTGCAAGAGGCTGGAGAAGAAATTGCGGGGGCACTGGCTGATATATTTGCATCATCGTTAGCCATGGGTGAGGTCCCGGAAGACTGGAGGGTAGCAAACATTGTGCCCTTATTCAAGAAGGGCTGCAAAGTGAAACCTGGGAATTATAGACCAGTAAGCTTAACATCTGTGGTAGGTAAGTTACTTGAGAAGATTCTGAGGGATAAGATACACATGCATTTGGAAAGACAGGGTTTGATTAGGAGTTTGAATCGAGGACTAGAGAGCACCAGCTTAAGGTAAGAGGGGAAAGAACACATGGGAACCTGAGGAGTAACTTTTTTTTTTTTACACAGAGGGTGGTACGCATAAGGAATGAGCTGCCAGCAGAAGTGGCTGAGGCAGGTACATTAACAACATTTAAAGGGCATTTGGACGAATACTAGGATAGGAAAGGTTTAGAAGGATATGGGCCAAATGCAGGGAAATGGGGTTAGCGTGGATAGACATTTTGGTCAGCATGGACCAGTTTGGGCCAAAGGGCCTGTCTCCGTGCTGTAGGACTCTATCTGCCGAGGTGGAATTGAAACCAGGGTCCCCAGAACATTATCTGGGTCTCTGGATTAACTGTCCAACAATAATACCACTAGGCCATCGCCTCCCCATCACTTGACATCTGCAAATTAAAACTGTATTTGCCATCTTCCTGCCTGTTTCACTAGCCTGACCTCATTCTCCTAATGTTTGCTACTGTCCTCTGCCCTACTTGCTACATTGTCGTGTTTTGTATCATCTGCAAATTTCAGACCCCTTCTACCCAATCTGTCATGTAAACGTAATGAGAAAACACTCCCGCTGTCAGAACCCACTCCACACCTCCCTGTAGTGTGCAAAACCTGTGTCCAGCCTCTCTGCCTCCAATTCTTGGACTGTCTCTTATCCACTTCTCCTTCTACCTTTCATCCTACCACACCAGGAAAGAGGTTTTTCCTGAATTCCTGATGGAGAATATTGCAAACTTATTTTAGATTTATGATCTGCAATTCTGACCACTCTCAGAGGTGGAAACAAGTTGTCGAAGTTTAATATGATCATTGTAAAAGGCCGCTATTAGAGCCGAGGACTTTGTGACTCTTACCCACTGTTTATAGAGAGCCTGGGGTAAAAGAGAGGATTCACTGGCCTTTTCAAAGACATTCAGCACCTTGTTCAGTCTCTGAAACACATTAGAGACAGTAAATGATTTTACTCAGCCACAGAGATCAGGATACAAGGGAAAGTAGAATAATCAGAGACACTGGGATTTCAGTCTCTCAAACTCACCTTGTTTCGAAGAAATTCATTGTTGGTTTTCCGTTTAAACCTTTCCAGGCAGAAACCGATATAACATTTCCACATGGCTTCTGCAATCAGAAAACTCGCAATTAGGAAACAGCAGCTTGGGAAGGCCAGAGGCAAGCAGTGATGGAGTAACTGCAGACTGGCCCCCTCTGTAAGCACTAGAACACCCCGCTCACAGGATCAGGGAGACACAGACTCAAGCTGCCGAAACTGCTGCTGCCAAGATCCAGTTCAATTCGCCTCACACCTGACCCCACCCTGCCCCCACTCCATGCAACTCCTTTCCCACCTGCCTCACCAATCTGTTGTAATTCTTTGCAGAGGTAATGAGCAAGTTAGACAAAGGAGAGCCAGTGGATGTGATCTGTTTGGATTTCCAGAAGGCCTTTGACAAGGTGCTGCACAGGAGGCAGCTAAATATGATAACAGCCCACGGTGTTAGGAGTAAGGTACTGGCATGGATAGAGGATTGGCAGACTGGCAGAAGGCAAAGAGTGGGGATAAAGGGGTCTTTTTCAGGACGGCAGCCAGCGACTCGTGGAGTTCCACAAGGGTCAGTGCTGGGGCATCTATTCACGAAGGAACTGAGGGCATTGTTGCTAAGTTTGCAGATGATACAAAGATAGGTGGAGGGACAGGTAGTGTTGAGGAAGTGGGGAGGCTGCAGAAGGACACAGACAGGCTAGGAATGTGGGTAAAGAAGTGGCAGATGGAATATAATGTGGTAAAGTGTGAGGTATGCATTTTGGTAGGAGGAACAGAGGCATAGACTATTTTCTAAATGGGGAAAGGCTTTGGAAGTGTGAAATACAAAGGGACTTGAGAGTCCTAGTTCAGGATTCTCTAAAGGTTAACATGCAGGTTCAGTTGACAGTTAGGAAGGAAAATGCAATGTTAGCATCAAGTGGTCCAGAATACACTGGCGAGGCTGTATAAGGCCCTAGTCAGAGGGCATCGGAAACAGTTTTGGGCTCCGTATCTGAGGAAGGATGTGTTGGCCATGGAGCAGGTCCAGAGGGGGTTTACAAGAGTGATCCAAGGAACGAAGGGCTTGTCATAGGAGGGGCAGCTGAGGGCTCTGGGTCTGTACTCGAAGTTTGGAAGGTTGAGGGGAATCTGACTGAAATTTACAGAATATTGAGAGGCCTGGATAGAGTGGACATGGAGAAGATATTTACGTTAACAGGAGAGACTAGGATTCAAGGGCACCGTCTCAGAGTGAAGGGACAACCCTTTAGAACTGAGATGAGGAGGAATTTCTTCAGCCAGAGGATGGTGAATCTGTGGAACTCATTGTCAAAGAGGGCTGTGGAGGCCAAGTCATTGTGTGTATTTAAGACAGAGATAGATAAGTTCCCAATTAGTAAAGAGATGAAGGGTTACGAGGAGAAAACAGGAGAATGAGTTTGAGAAACATATCAGGCATGAATGAATTGCAGAGCAAACATGATGGGCCGAATAGATTAATTCTGCTCCTACATCTTATGTTCTTATCTCGTCTCCCTTCCTCCCTCATATCCAAGTCTCAGCGGAATATATACAGACCTGTTGGCACAGAGGCGACAGCTTTCTCATACACAGCCCAGCACCGCTCCTCCCTGCGAGCAACATCAGAGGCTTTTGTCTGTTTGGAGCACTCTGATACCGGCAAGTCTGCATCTAACTCCTGCCTGGCCACAAAGTCCCAGCACACTGGGTGGTTACTGTGCAGAGTCTGTAGGCTATAGAAACAAGATGAACCAGCTGAGCACATCACATTGGCCAGTTCAGCACTCAGACACACCTTACGTCACTTTTGCAACATCAGACACCGCCCCACTCCCTGATTCTTCCTCATACTCACTCCTCCACAATCTCTTTGCGAAGGTCCTGTGTGAAATCAAACATCACTGCAATTGTCCAAAAGGACAGGTGGAACTCTGCATCTCCTGAGACAAACATGAGACGAGGAGAGAGGGACAGCGGGTGAGAGAGAGTGCGAGAGAGAAAGTAAGAGCACACAAATCCCCGTTTTCCCAATCGCAAGTGACAGTGCGGCAAGTGTGGAGCATTCACTCACCCGGAATCTTCTCAATGGCGTTCTTATAAACAATACGAGCCAAATCTCCACGGACAATCTCCTCTGGATACTCTGCTTCGGTCTAGAGACACAAAACATGTGATAGAACTGTTCCTGTGATGTTACACAATTGGTTCAGCAGCAGGTGTCAGCGACTGGGGACATACTGCCAACTGCACACATTCACATTAGCCTGAGCACCATGCACTCCACCAATATCTCCCTCATCACTCAATCTCAGCCAACACAAGCAACCCACCCACCCAAGACCAATACACCCATCTACCACTTTCCCTGCCCTGACATACATTTCTAATCTGCACCTATCTCTTAAAGCCCTTCAGCCCACAACCCAGCTCCACTTTCCCTGTCCCAACCACACAGCTACAATCAGCCACATGCCAAATCTCAATGTTCTAACTCTTTACCAGCTTCAGCTTGGCCGTTTCCAGCAGCTGTTTCTCCTTCCGCATCTTCTCCACGTGCATCAGCTCCATCCGGAAATACTGCCAAACACAAGATTATAAAGGTCACATCTTTTTATTTTTATGTTTATTAATTGTGCAATGTGATTGTGAAATGGGAAACAGCTGTTTTAGAAAACAGAAGTTGCTGCATGGTTTGAAAATGAGTAATTTGATTATCACTGTGAACAAAGACCAAGGAACTTGAAAAAACTCCACAGGGGGCAGTATCCCTTCACCAAGTCACCCTTTATTTACGTGTGTAGTACTCGACACTGATCCAGCCTCCTCAGGGGCAGCTCTCAGAGAGAGCAGAGTCTCTGACATTCCTGTTTTTATCTATCAACCAGGGCTCCCTGATTGGACCAGGTTAACAGCCCCAGTCAGTGTACTCATTCTGAGCCCCACCTGGTTGACCTTGTTACAGTCAGTACAGAACTGCTTTCCTTCTTTGCCCTCTGTCCATGTATTATTTTCTTGTCTAATGTGTCTGCATGTAAGGGGGCATTTATAAGAGAATTAAAGATTTTAATCATTGAATATATGACAACTGTTTCTGACTATACCTGTAGTTAGAAACTAATTACTTTAATAAAATAGCAACTTTTGTTAAGTACAGGAATCTGGTCTATGCTTTATACCAAACTGGGTCCAAAAGTCAGGGGAATCTTTGCTCTCTTGCTTCCAGCCCATTCTCAGTTGGACTCAACATCAAGGAAGGAAAGCCACAGCTGAACCAGCACTTACCTCCTGGTACAGCTTCTGAGATTCTGGATGGAAACGCAAAGCTCGCAGGAATAAATGTCTGGCACTTTCTGACGATAACTGATCCTCCATTTCCCACTTTGCTGCCATCATCCATAAAGCTGCAAGAAAATTAATGCAAATAAAAAATAAAGCTCTAAGGTTTTTAAGAGTAGATTTGTAGCTTGGTTTGTGGATGTCGTGGTTGGTTGGCTCACGAAGCTGCGGAACAACGAACCATCTTGGCGAGCCAACCAACCACAAAAATGAAGCTGGCAAAGAAGTACTAAGCACCACACCAGGCACAGATCCTCCCACTAACCAAACCACGCCAACAAGCAACAGGAACACAATGATTGGCTATTTACCTGGTTTGTCTGGATGAATGGCCAACATCGCAGAGAACACTTTGCTCAGCTTCAGCTTGGTATTCTAAGAAAGAATTAACAGCCATAACATCACAGTTACAATGAGAACTCAATGAACATCAGGAGAGATACAGTCAGTCAGTAACACAGGGCACTGTGGGAGAGAGGGGTTACTGAGCGACAGTGAGAATGAGCAGCAATAACATCAGTAGAGATACACAGTCAGGAACATAAGCAAATTCTTACCCATTTTTTGCAAAATGCGATATGAGAGAGCCACAACTGGACATCCGCCTTTAAAACAGAAAGTTAACATTGACAGTCAATGTGCAGGAAGAATCTTTCAGACAAGGGACTGTCACTTCTTCGTAGCCCCTGAGGTGTGTCCCTCCTCCAACCCCTGCACACATGGAGCCCTCCCCTTCCCCCCCACACCTGAGCCCAGCCTGGCCCTCAGCCCCGGGGCTCTCTAGAACACCACCCCACCCGCAGCCCCAGCCTTACCTTCCACTTGGAGAGAGCCCGTCTGAACAGGGCGTGAATGCGGTTAACAATGGCGTATTCAATTTCTTCTTTCTTAAAGTAGTAGCCAGCTCGCTGTGAGGAGAAGGCAGTGATGTGTTTAGACAGTGACACGTTACACTCAAACATGAACTCAGCTTTTCACAGAAACTTGCTTCTCACTCACCACTCGCCGCCTCTTGATCAATTCCAAAAAGTTAATTTCATACTGAAACACAAAACAGCAAATCAGTCAGAACTCATTCAGCTGGGGGGGGGGGAAGGGAGGGAATTGGGGGCATTGGGGGGGGAGGGGGGGGGGGGGGGGGGAGGAGGGGTGTAGGAGGGATGGGGGTAGCACTAGGGGTGAGGGAGGGACAGAGGGGGATAGAAGGGGTGAGGCAGGGTGGGATTGAGGTGAAACCGGGTGCGGTTAGGGGTGAGGGATGGACGGAGGGAGGGTGTTTGGGGTGAGGGAGGGAGGGGGGGGGGGGTGGTGGGGGTGGGGGAGGGAAGGGGGGGAATCACTGTGACAACGTGTGCAATGGCAGAGGCCAGCTGGGTGTGATTGGTCACAGTGGGTTGACTCCTCTGTTACTCACACACCTGGATATAGCTGATGAAACTCTCCTTGTTCAGTGCCCGTCTCTGCACCTTGTGCTCCAAGGCTGTAACCTTCTTCATCAACGCTCTTCAAAATCAAACAGCAAAAACCATCAGGCAGGCACAGTGAGAAAACTCCATTCATGCAGTTTAAGTTGTAAAAACTGCTTCACATGGTGTGAACATCAAACAAAAACCAACACAAAGGCAGACAGGACACACGACCAAAAGCTCTGTCAAAAGGGAGGCTTTAAGGAATCTCTTAAAGGTGCCGAGATAAAAATAATACATTTACTGCACATCTATCCATTTGCTCATCAGGGACCAGCCCAAAAACATTGATTTGGACTAATCCCAATTTCTACCTGTTAGTCTGAAGCTCTGCAATTTATGGCATCTCAAGAGAATGTCAATATCAGTTCCAAGGAAGGGTCACTGGCCCTGAAACATTAACTCTGATTTCTCTCCACGGATACTGCCAGACCCACTGAACTTTTCCAGCAACTTCTGTTTTTAGTGACACAGAGTTGCACAGCATGGAAACAGACCATTTGGTCCAACTCGTCCATGCTGACCAGATATCGTAAATAAAGCTAGTCCCTTTTGCCAGCATTTGGCCCTCATCCCTCTAAATCCTTCCCATTCATATAACCATCCAGATGTCTGTTAACAGGGGAGGCGATGGCCTAGTGGTATTATTGCTGGACTGTTAATCCAGAGACCCAGATAATGTTCTGGAGACGTGGGTACGAATCCCGCCATGGCAGATGGTGGAATTTGAATTCAATTTTTAAAAAAAATCTGGAATTAAGAATCTAACGATGACCATGAATCCATTGTTGATTGTTGTAAAAACCCATCTGGTTCACTAATGCCCTTTAGGGAAGGAAACTGCCATCCTTACCTGGTGTGGCCTACATGTGACTCCAGACCCACAGCAATGTGGTTGACTTTTCACTGCTCTCTGGGCAAACAGGGATGGGCAATAAATGCTGCCCAGTCAGCAATGCCCTCATCCCATGAATGAATAAAGAAAAAATGTTGTAATTGTACCAACCTCCACCACTTCCTCTGGCAGCTCATTCCATACACGCACCACTTTTTGCGCGAAGAATTTGCCCCTTAGGTCTCTTTCAAATCTTTCCACTCTCACCTTAAACCTATGCCCCTCTACTTTTGGACTCTCCCCAGCCCAGGAAAAGGACCTTGTCCATTTACCCAATCCATGCCCCTGATGATTTTATAAATCTCTATATGGTCACCCCCTCAGACTCTGACACTCCAGAGAAAATAGCCCCAGCTTATTCAACCTCTTCCTATAGCTCAAACCTCAAGCCTGGCAACAGCCTTGTAAGTCTTTTCTGAACCCTTTCAAGTTTCACAGCATCCTTTCTACAGCAGGGAGACCAGAACTGCATGCAGTATTCCAAAAGTGGCCTAACCAATGTCGTGTACAGACACAACATGATCTCCAAACTGACCAATAAAGGCAAGCATACCAAACGCCTTCTTCACTAACCTATCCACCTGTGACTCTACTTTCAAGGAACCTGCACTGCAAGGTCTCTCTGCTCAGCAACATTCCCCAGGACCTTACCATTAAGT